TGTTAATACCCACTTTTCTCTCCTGATCCCTTAAATTTTAGGAGGCTTTTACAAAATAAGTGTTTCTTTACCCTCTGAACTAGAAATGGCTGTGTCCATGATGTCTACATGGCACATGGCTTGGGAAAGATTGAGAGCAAACCTCTTCCTCTACCTCTGGTACCCAAAACAAACCTCCCCAGACTCTCATTTGTGCTAACCATTGTCTTGTTGCTGGTCTTTAAAAATGTAAATTCTCATGGAGGTGTTAATATATGAGGTACCTTATTTTTGACATCCCCTTTTCTCTCCATGTGATAACATGAGCATCATGAGACTGTCAATTGTTTGGATCTAGAAAGAACTAGAGGATCTGGAGATGAGGAAATTGTTGAAGACAGGGGCAGAGGAGGCAAAAGTGTGGGCACCAAAGTGCATCTACCTCATATCTGGCATGATTCTGTGTTGCTGATGATCATGGCAGCAAGACCTGGCTCAGGCCCACCAATTCTGGCTATTTAAAACTTACTGCTTGAGCATTTAAAACATGCTGAACACCCAGGACTGGTGAGAACAGAGACTTATTCCCGTCCATAACTACAAGGCACAGTGATGGGGACAGGCTTTCTTCCAGCAAGGAACTTCCAGGAATCATCCTCAGGGGAATCAGAGGCATGTACAAAGATGTATCTCCCTGTACCCTCTGGGTGTTTCTTTCTTAGTAAAAACTCAGAAATCCCCTAAATTTTTGTCAACAGATGGATGGTCAAGCTTAATGTGGTGATTTGTGTATGGAATATAGTGGCTGATGTTAAAACCACCTGGCAGAGGATATTTAATCACTTGGGGGATGCTGAGATGGCTGAGTTGAGCAATGAAGGGACAAGGCAATTTATGTGTAAATGTGTGTCTGTACACACAGACATTTGAACTGAACTTAAAAAATACTCACTTATATAGGAAATAAAAACTGAAAGAAAGTTCTCTAAGTGTGTTGACATTGAATTATAGAATTATTTTCAATTGTTTTATTTTTTATTTTCTGTAATTTCCAAGTTATTCAAATTAAGTATTGCCTGCTTATAAATTTATAGACATCTATGCTTTGCAAATGTGTCTACAGACTTTATTGGGATAAGGGGGAAATGAGATAATGGTGAATTGATGAAATTAGACAGTTCCTAGGCTTAGAAGTGAAGTCAGGAAAATGTCAGTGGGATTTAATTTTTCAGAAGAGAAAAGGTCAGGAATAATATAGACCTTACCCACATTTTCTACCTTAATTAAGTCAGAAGGAAAAAAGCCAGGCTTTCGGTTCTGTGGATTGCTACTTTTATTTCTAGCTTCTGGAAAATGTGCTTTCTGATGGATCCTGAATCTTGCCTATGAGTGGCCTGTGAGTTCTCTGGATACAGGCCAGTGATCCTGTCAAGTGATAGGGCCCAGAGGCCTCTTCTATGCTTCTGTCTCCACAGACAAGAAAGGATTTGGAACAGTGGAAAATAGTATCTGGATGGTGTTGAATGAAGTTCAAACTGGAAAGGCCTGTAGTCTTTTTGGGAAGTTTCCTGGCAAAACTCATTTATTTTTGGCTTTTTAGAAATGTAGCTATATAAGAAAGCTGAGAGGTGATTCCCTGTATGCTTAACTACAACTTTGAAACAGTCAGCCAGATGTGGCCACCACAGAGCAGATCAAATGGACTTCTGACTTTTCCTCGTTTGTGATTTTCCTTCTAGATGTGCAACGTGGTGCTGCGGGGGCTGTTCTGAGAGCCTCCTGGCCGTCCTTCCCAGGGAGCAGCAGTGCCTAGACTCTCTTGAACTCTGTCTGCTCTTTTTACGGCAATGATTCTAAGGACATGATTGGTTTGATGATACAGAAATCTCTGAGTAAAAATCCAAACTCATGCAAATAAGCTGTGATTACTTGGGTTTAAGCCATTCGTAATTAAGTATTTATTAATAACCTACATTGCACTGAATACCTCTGACAAGACGAAAACACCATGGCAGCCACTCCTAAGGTGCTCACAATCTAATCAACAAATGGACTCAGAGCCAAACTCTGTGCTTCTGTTTACATCTTGTTAATGCAACAAAACCAAAGGTTTTTGTTTTTTAAATCTATATTATATGGCTGAGAAAATGAAAGCTCAAGGTGGCTAAATGATGTGAGGGAGGTCACTGTAACGGGCCAGAGCCCCAGTAATACTGTGCATGTTAATGGAAAAAACCCCAAAGTCTGTAAAATTATTTGAGGAGGTTTATTCTGAGCCACATATGTGGCTGGGAAGCCACGCCCAAGAAGTCTTGAGCAAGTGGTCCCAAGGTTACAGTTTGGTTTTATAGTATACGTTTTGGGGAGACAGGAATTGTGAGCAAAATCATAAGTCAATACATGGAAGGGCTACCTTGGTTTGCCCAAAAAGGCAGGACATCTCAAAGCAAGGAGTTTACAGGTTATAAGTGGGCTTGAAGATCCTTTGATTTGGGATTGTTTACAGAAACGAAGTTTTGTCTAAAGGCTGGGAATATTTTAAGATAAAGAAGTCTGTTAATCAGAGTCAAGTTGCAGTATTCCAGCATGTAACTCAAGTGATCTAGAAAGCACATTGACAGCCTGCAGATGATTTAATTTTTGTTTTTCATGGCTTTAGGTCCTGTTAATAATTTAGTATCTTACTGTCACAAAATAGTCTGTTTTTCCAGTCCTATTTATTTATTTACTTATTTATTTCAGAGAAGGGGTTCATGGCCAGGAACTTGGTTTTAAGGTTTTCCTGGGATCCTCTTGGCCAAGAGGGTTTCTGTTCACTGGGCCGTGGGGAGGGGCTTATGATTTTATCTCTCTTCTCTCCATGGAGCAAGAGAAAACATTTAGATATTTTTGGACTCATTGAGACATTTATCTAAATGTACCTGAGGATTTATAGTTCAGGATTTAGTTATGAGAGATGGGCAGAAGGGGAGAACCTTAACTAATTGATTAAGCCAGTTTGAGAAGCCAGAAGCACTCCAATTGTTAAATCCCTTGGACAGAATTCATCTTCCACTTTCTACCTTCATCTGCCAAAGTCAACGCACCTACTCTATACCACTGTCTCCTGCCATGCTCTCCTCCACTGGCTGTTAATTCTCCTGAGGAGAATCCTTGGTCATCAGTGTTCTCCACAAGAAGTAACCCAGGGCTGCCCAGAGTGGTGCCTTGTGGAAACTCACTGGCTCAGATAGACTCCTTTTCTGTCTTCCCTGAGATGTGATGGGTATTGTTAGCACATCACTGTGTTAGCACATCACAGCTTAGGGATCCAGGTTTTACTCATTCACAACACCCAGGTCGTATTGTTTATGCCACAGGTGTAAAAGGAAAATAAAAGTCTCAGGACCAAACCCCACTTCCCCCAATTCCTTATGCAAAAGGGAAGCTAAAGGCCTCAGATACCTGGGAAGAACTGACCCCATAGATCATTCATTAAGGAAATTCCTTGCTCACCTCACACAAGCAAGGCCATATCAATTTGTAACTTTAGGTTCAAAAGCTCTACCTCCTAAAACTAAAGTCTGTTACAAGTTCCTTCACAGGTGCAGAATGGAGACAAGACAGGATCAAACATTCTTTCACCTACCTAGAGACATTCAGGCATCCTCAAACTATGGCCCATGGGCCACATGCGGCCGGCAGAGGACATTTATCCGGCCCACTGGGTGTTTTTGCCACCGCTGCCTGTCCTGCTTAGCAGCTGACTTGTCCCAGGGCCCGCAGTCTGGCCCTCCAACGGTCTGAGGGACAGTGAACTGGCCCCCTGTTTAAAAAGTTTGAGGACCCTGCATAATTGATGCTTCCTTCATGCCCTTCTTCTCTTCTAACATTTGTTTTGTCTTATGTAAAATGGACATTTTCCTGGGTTTCACAAGAATGTAACTATTATGCCTCACTACCCCTATACCCTGACTTTTTTTTTTTTTAATCTGTATGACTTTAAATGCTGAAACTTCCAAATATCCCTTTGGAAAAACACAAGCTACAGCCAAAGCATGCCCTCAACTTTGGCTTAATAAACCTCTATTGACTGAGATTTTTGCCTCAGTCACTTATTTTGGGTTGACGCTGGTGAACGCTTGAGTGAGGAGAAGCAAGTAGAAATATTTTTCTTAAAATTCATTCCTTGTGTGCATCTGCATCAGAGAGTTGCTGTTATTTTACCAGGTGAGTGATTCATGGCATCACAGCCTCTCTACATGTCCTCTTTTAAGGACAGCAATGTACCAGTGCATAAAATGACATATTCCCAATGGTGAGGATTAAAAATTATTTCTGCAACTTCTCATGAGAAACTGGATGCTTTTAAACATCATGTGTGCTTTAATGAGGGCAATTGTGTATGGTGGGGGACCTTGCTGTGCCTGTGTGCGTACTGCCCTCTACAAAGCTCCTAGTTTGGGTCCTATGTTTATGGTGGCCCTTTCTTCAATGGACAGGCCAGTGTAGCAAGATGCCCAGTGTGCATCTTCACTTTGCTGCACTGCGGCTGGTGTCCTCTGGAGAGGCCCCTCCTTGCATTCTGGTTATCATTTCGTTTAGATCCTTTGTCCCTCATTTCTGCAGCATAGTCTCCCATTAGCATGTTTTACATGTAAATATCTTCTGATCTTAGGAGGTAGAATTTTCTGCATATAAAGGGGCTTATAAGACTCTGAATGCTTTTAATGATGGGAAGCTCTGTGGGGAATAACAAAGGTGGTCTGAATCTCCTATTTAATACCAAAGTGAGCCTAACAGTATCATCCTACATGTGAGTTTCTGCTTTGCATTTTCAGTCCAGTTGGGGAGAAGAATTGTTTCTAATGGTCTTTCTTAAAACTCTGGCTTTTTACAGTTCACATAGAACTTTAGTCTAATTTCCAAGTAAAATTTATCACTGAATCTCAAGCACATTCTTGAATCTAGTGCCCAACTGTTGGGAACACATTCGTCAGGTTTTATGTTGGTGATTCCATTTCCTCCTCTGTCGTTTACAGGTCTCACTCTCCTTTGCCCCAGATCTTCAGCTCCGGGTCTAAAGACCCCTGCTTTACAGAAAACACTCCTTTGCTAAGGAACTCCTCACAGGAAAAAGGGTGAGTTTTTTTTTTTTTCTTCCTTTCTTATGAAACTAAGAAATTTCTGAGCATTGTCCTACTTATGCTAGGGAATTTATTCCTGAGAATGAATTTTTGCCAGACATCTGCTGGATCCTTGACAATTCATTGTGGTAGATGTCCATGATTCTAGGGGTTATACATCTGTTCTGTGACTTATGAATTTCCAGACAGCCTTGAGCATAACCTTGTAATGATTACATAGCACAGCAGGCTCAGCCAGGCATGCCTGCGGCTCTGGAAGGCTATCTCATCTGGCCAGGGTTGAGGCTGGTACTGTCTGGAGACAGTTTTGGTTGTTACATTGGGAACTGGGGTGCTGCTGCCATCTAAGATTGGAGGCCAGGGATGATGCTAAAGATTCTGCAATGCACAGGAGCTCCCATGGCAAAGAATTATCCAGCCAAATGTCAATGTTGATGCAGGTGAGAAACCCTTTATGTATGCTGCACAAGAAAACTTCACTTCCTATGAGGTGGAAGGTCGTTTTGGGCACAAATCTGAGTGGTTTTGTAATTGCCTGAGCAGGGATGAACTGGAAGATAACTTATGAATGCTTCTTTCCCAGGACGGGGCTGTGACCTAGGCCTTTAGCCTCTTGTCCTCTTCTTTCTGCAAGTGTCCAGAAGCCAGAGCCACCTGCTTAGTATCTCCCCACTCCCTGAACATCACACACATTGTTACCAGACCCCAAAGGGGTCTAGTCTTGGTTCAGTTGCTTACCACAGAATAAAGACCATTACTGAGACAAGTATTGCCAGAGAAGAAATGGTTTTTATTGTAACTGATGCCATCCAGGACACTGGAGATAGTTCTCAAATCTGCCATCCCAACCAAATAAGGACAAAGACTTTTATAGTAGGTTGTGGAGTGCAAGTCAAATTGAAGCTTTAAGTCATGTGGTGTGCATGTGTCTGACTCGAGAGTCAGCTGTTGGCAATGGATGGTGAATTGTCAGAAGTCCTGTGGAGAAGTTAATTAAGCAAGAGTATGACATTCTGCTTGTTAGGCTTGACTGGTCTGAAAGTCTGGGGTATTGGGGAAAGAACAAAATATAACCTAGGGAGGGGGTCATCTTACAAGGCCAGTTATGACATGGGACATCATCACAGGGCCTCCTTTTCCTATGACCCTGTGTACTGCATCGACAGGTGACTACTGTGTCTCTGCTTGCCTGGGTGTTGCCCACCCTCTTTCCAGCCCCCTCTGCAGCTAGGACAAGGGGTGGGGCTTCACACTTTAGCAGTACTTGCATGCCAGGTGGGTTCCTGGTTTCACCCTCTGAACAGTCAGATTCTCAGGATTTGGAGCTAGAATCTGGATTTATCACCACAGTGCAGGGATGATCACAGAAGGACACCCATATACCGACACACTGCAGCCTGTTATTGAGAGACATCCATGCACTCTCACCCTGCAGCCCTGTTACAGACAGACACCCGTACACTCCCTCCTCTTGCAGCCCCATTACAAAAGACACCCGCATACCTCCCCCCCTGCAGCCAGTTATAGAAAGACACCCATACACCGTTACACCCCTGCCGCCCCATTACAGAAAGATGCCTGCCCTTACACTGGAGGAAAGCTGGCATCGCCAACTCGGAGAAGTGTAACAGGTCTCGGCAATGACTGACAACCCTCCTAGCACGTTTTAAGAGAAAGCAAATACAGAGATGAGTGGGAACTGGCCAGAAACAGCCTTACTGGGAGGCCCAAACTCAGAAAAGGCTGATGTTTCTTGATAGGCTCGCAGTTTATTCCTAGGCCTCGAGAGACCCCAGAAGGGTTCCTTGAGTCAAGTGTTCTGGGGTGTAGCCGTTGTGAGGAAGCGGGACGCACATGCCCGGATCAGCGGCACTCTTGCTTTGCAGATGTTACTGTTTCGGGAAAGATAACCACAGCCTCGCTCTGCAGGTCCCTGTGCGTGCCCGGCTTCCAGCCTGAGCGCGTCTCTGCCGAGGATTCCTGGGACAGCAGCTCGGCGGAGTGGGAGCGCAGGTGGCCGCTGGGCGGGGAGGCGGCCGTGGCCTGCTCGGAGAAGGCCGAGCTTCTGGACAGCAGCCAAGGCTACGGCCACAGGCGGCTTCCGAGGCTGAGGTAAGTGCTCGAGACCCGCCCCTCCTCCCCCCACGCCCACAAGGAGAAGGCGGGAGAGGGCGGTTCATATTGGCAAAGGCTGCACATCTTCTTCAAGGCGGACGCGGCCATGACGGCAGCTGGGCAACTCCGGGCGGAGCCTGCGAGGCTGAGGGAACCAGCTGCAGACACAGTGGCTGTCTTCCTCTCCCTCCAGCTGTGTGGTTGGGGGCATTCATGGCAGTAGGTTTGCAAATAGCATCGGTTGGACTGAGAAATCCCCTCTGATGCTATCTTTGTGGTTCCTGATAAGCTGAGTCCCTCGCGTCGCGCAGACGAAGGGACACAGCACTCTTCCGCCATGGGACCAGGAAGCCGGGGGTTGCGCGTGCGTTGGGAAGGCGGGGTGGGGGAGGGGCGGAGGGCGCGCATGCGTCGCAGAGCTGAGCGCGCTTTGCTGGGCAGGGCAGGAGCGCTCTGATTTTACTGACTTTGTCCGCTGGGCTTTCTTTCTTGTACCGACTTGTTTGAAGGAAGGTTTTTTTTTTTTTTGAGAGCAATGTACTTGAAAGCAGCACTTCCAGGAACAGAACAAGTGCTGGGAACCAGGACAAGGCTGTCTCCAATCTGGACCGCCCTGAGGTAGCAGGGCAGCTGGGAGAGCCTGGTGCAGACGTGCAGCCGTCTCTGGCCGTGTCCCCTTGCCCCGGGGCTCCCATGGACTCACACTAAGGGCATGTGTGCAGATGCTGTAGGTGTGGCGGTATCATATAACTGCGTTTGGGGCCAGTCTTTTCCGAAGATACTTGAAGGCTGGATTGCAAGTGTACCCGTCTGTGTGCCACAGCTGTTCTAACCTATTCCCTAAAGGGCCTGCGGTGTGCTAGGACCATCGCCCAGTTGCCCTGTTGGTCTTGCCAACAGTACAGGGTAGTGGGTGGAGAGTGCCTCAAGGAAAGTAAGGGTTGTGCCCGGTGTCACAGCTTGTGAGCCGGAGATCAGAGATTTGACCCCAGCGCTCCCCACTGCTGCTTTCTTGACCACGGCTCTGTCTCCTCCCGCTCAGACTCCCAACCATCTACAGCTTATTCACAATGACTGGTCTCAGCCCCCTGGTATGTACAACAAATAATTTGGCTGATGAATCCTCTATGAACCTACGTGAATGCGAACCTTAGGCCACGGGTCACCAGGATGGCGGACCCTGACACCGTTCACGTCTTTCCTCAGGGGATGCTGTGTCCTTAACTGTCCCACAACACAGAAAAATAAAATCAAGTACATTTCTGACTTTACAGTCATGGTTTTATCTTCTGTGATTCATGGAATATTTTCCTTGAGCTTACCACTGAACTAAAGGCCTTTAGTACCATTGTTTATGACAGAAAGTACTGTGAATAATTAGTGAAGAAACTTGTAAAATAATTTTTTTAAAAAATTCTTTTATTTTAGATTGCCAGTTCTGCTGCAAATGTCAGTTATATAGAATGAAGTTTGAATTTAGAATAGCTCAATTAATGCTTCACGCTTTAAAAAGAAATGCCATTTTGATTCCTATTTAAGTAGGAGCTGTTAAATCGTAATTTAAAAGCATGAAATGATTATTCGTCAAATTCATTAAATCTAAGAGAATGTAAAACAAGATTTCACCATTTTCAAAGGATCAGAAAGAAGGCTTTCAAAGACTAATGGAACTTTAGTAGGTGAGGAGAGTATTAAATAGATGTCCCAACATAAGAGTTTCTTGCTTTATTGTACAGACATTTATCAAACACAGTCTGGGTACCAGCATCCTTCTGTGTGTGAGGACAGAGCAAAATGCAGCTACTTTTTAAATGATTTCTGGGGTTTTTTTTTTTTTTTTTTTGTATTTGATGATCAAACCTGTATTCCCACCTTCCAGAAAAATTAGGAAAAAATAATTGATAAATGTGAATTGGAGACCCAAGATAAGGTATTAAATTCACTTTTTTTCCTTAGGAAACTGGAGCTTTATAAAGCAAGCGCCCCCCCCCCAAATAAATAAATAAAAGTGAGTGCCCCATATCTTGAACTCTAGTTTTCTTAGCAAGAAGCTGTGTCTAAATGCGGTTAATTTTGTTTGTCTCTGTAACCTCCACCAAACTCCTTTGGATGGGGCAATATGATTACTTGTCAATGGTGTCCTGTTTCATATCACGTTTTGGAAAGAATTGAAAAGATGTGCTTTCAGATGGTGTTTGTGTAAGGCTTCAGAAAGCTGTCTGAGGCTGGCAAGGTCAGGCATGTGCAAATGGGACGGCTGCCCCTTGTGGCTAAGGACTGACTTTTTCTTTTGCAGACAGTGTGTGCGGTGGCTGAAAGTCTCTGGCCTGTTTATCTTTGTAGTGTTGTGTTCCGTGAGTACCGGGTTGGTGGAAGCCCTGGGGGCTTTGGTGGGCAGCTATAGCATGTGGGTGCCTTGGGCTGGACAGCGGAGACACTGAGTATGGGGCTTACTGTTTGGACCTCCTATGCCTTGTTCTGGGACTTTTCTTTGGAGGAGATGCTGAGGTGGGTGGGTGGGTGGTGGGATGAGGTGGGTGGAGGGTACCTGGCCTCTTTGGCTGTGCTCCCAGCCACACAGGAGCAGGTTGGACGACCTGGCATTGCTCTGCAGAAGGCAGGTTAGATTGCCCTGGGCTCTCTTCCCCCCTCAAGGGGCTTACCAAATTCTGTTTTCAACCACATACAGCCACATTGACGGTAACATTCCTCCTTGGTTTTAGGACATATCTAATGACTATGGGTGACCCCGCAACTATCTCAGTGCCCCTTAGAGATGGTGTCCTGGGTCCCCACCCAGCTGGGCCACCCTGTGGGGAGGGAGTGAAGCTCTCCCTGTTTACCCTACCATGGAGGCAGCCCTGATTTTTATTTGTCCCTACATCCCTATCCTTTCAAACACATTAACATTCACAGTAGACTCATCCTGGAGCCACATCAAGATGTACTATGAGGAAGAGGGTGTGGAAAAAAGGGGAAGGCGGGGCCACCCTAGTGACCCCAGGCAGGGAGTGCGCTATCTGTTCTTCATTGAGGACACTGGTGGGTATGGGACTGGCAGATGGGTCCTGGCCAGGCAAGGAAGAGCTGTAGACGGCTGGAACCTGGGAGGGAGGCCAGGGCAGCCAGGGAGGCCAGGGAAGCCAGGGCTGTGGAGGCTCCGGAATGTATCCTCGGAGGTGATGGGCACGTGTCTCAGTGCTAGCGTTTGTGTGCTCTATGGCTTAGTGTAGCCAGAGCCACAGTCCCAGTTGCCCAATATGTGGATGAGTGGTCCTGTGTCTGGCTGGTATAGTGTGTGCGTCCTTGTGAGATCTGTGGGTCACTTGTGATCTGTGACCGTGATGGGGTTGTGTCTGTACTTGGGGAGTAATTTTGGATGAGTACAACTTTTTAGTGTTAGCGTAAGGTGGTGAGATAGTGTGTAGTTGGGAGACCCTAGTGGGTAGGGGTCACTGCCGCCATGGCAAGGTGTGGGATGTGAGCAAGGCGGGTGAGGGTGGTGTTCTGGGTGTGGGTCAGCCATGGTGACAGACACTGTGTGCATGACTTTGCACGACTCCTGTTGTCTGCACAGGTGGACACGTGGATTTGGGCTCTGCATGTGAGCAGGATCGTGTGTGACCATGACACTGCTCTTCTCAGCTGTGATGTGAAGACAGCAGGGCAGTGTGTGAAGTTAGCACCTACTAACCTGAGTATAGTCAACTCTTAGAACCCAAAGGGGAGGAGAGTAGTGGCCAGAGATATGGAACCTGGGCTTGAAACAGAAAACCAGTTCTCTCAAACTGAAAAATTCATGATTTTATACTTTTTGGTTGCCAATTTGCCTGTCCACTTCCTACTCACAGGAATGTATGGTTCTGAAGCCCCTCTGCTCAATAGGGCCTAGTGGATGCTCTGGGATTCCATGGAGGGTGTCAGGGTGGGTCAGGGGTCCCTTGGTTCCTGAGAGGTGACTTGAGCTCTGTGTCTAGTCCTCAGCCTTCTTCTGGGAGATGGAGTTTCCGTGATTTGTGGACACATCCAAACTAGAACTTGAGGAATTTAATGTGAACATCAGTAATCTGTCATTAGTCACCACTTTAATTTACTTCTCAATGGTGTATAAGGTGCTTTGCAAGTTCCACACCTTGTGCTGACCATCACTGCTGTATTCTTTACTTCCCTACGTGGGAAAACCACACTTAACTACCTTTGACAATTTAATCCTTAAAACTGGCAGATACTAGTAACCAAGGCTACTGTAGCTAAACATAGTGTAACAAATCAGAATGTTTTCACATCCAAGGAAAAGCTGATCAGGGTAAGCTGGTGAGGTTTGGAGACTTAACCCAGAACCACAGTATGTCCCTATTTTCAACTATTATCAAAAATAATTCAAATCCTATTGCTCTTGTACCAAAAATATATTATGAAATGTTTCTGATTGTTACAGATTTTATTCAGCCTGTATCCAGATCAAGGAAAGTTCTGGCAGCTGTTGGCTTTGTCACCGCTGGAAAACTACTGTATCCAAAATACACAGGAATGAGATTCAAAAGCAGAGGGGCCCTTGGGAACTATTGCCCTGTTCTGAAGTTCCCAGCACAGGCTCACACCACTCCTCTTCCTCCAGGATGGAGAGCAGGGAGCTCCTAGGAGTCAGGAAAGGGTGGTTGGTGGTGCTGCCCTCTAGGAGGGTGACAGCAGTGGTGTGCCATTGGGGCCTGGCCTTCCTGTGGCTCTGAGGTGCTCTGTTCCTCCCCACTGCCTTCTGCTTGCAGCTTGGGTGGTTCCTACCGCCTACCTTCAAATTCATGGGCACGTGCCCTGGCTGGGTCTGCTCGGTCTGATGGATGCTCTGCATCTCTAATCCTGGCCTTTTCCTGTGTCTCACGCATTTTTGTTAAAGCCACACACATCCTATAGGCTCAAGGTCAGTTTTTATAAGTTGGGAGATGAGCAGGGTTTGATGTTTGCGGGTGTCGGTTGGGATTGTCCTGGAGAGAAGTGGATTGTGTTGTATTTGCAGTTGCCATGGCAACCTCAGGTGCAACCCTGGCTCTGCCCTGCCCTCTGCTGGGTGAAAGCTGCTCTTCCCTCAGCTGCAGGTTGTACCTGCTCCCTGTGGCCAGGTTTGATGACCTTCCCTCTCAAGTCTAGGCCTTTGCTCCTTAGGGGAGATGGAGGCGGTGGGAGTGGTTGCAGGGTGGCACCACTGAGGGACCTTTTCCCAGTACCTTCCCTGGCCTCCCTGCCTTCCTGGGGAGTGCCTGCTGGGGTCTCTGGAGGAGGAGCCTGCAGGAAGATGGCTGCACCCCTGCCGGTGGCTCCCAAGTCTCCCACTCTCACACATGCCCACGCTGAGCCTGAGCAAGTTTGACACTTCCTGCCTGAAGCTCACCTGCATCTAAAGTGTGGTGGTGGCTGCTGTTCCAGGGCAGCTCTTTCCCCTGCTGGCCTCTGTCTCACTCTGGGTGTCAGGTGGGTTGTTTGCCTACATCCTCATTCTGGAATAAGGGCTAAGTCACTGACTTATGTTTATTTCAGACTTTCCTGGTTGAAAAAGTGGGCATGGTGCCTTCCCAGCTCTCCATGGATCCCAGCTGAGATTGGGAGTCCAGAACTCTGTCAGGATTAATTCTGAGCATGGGAGGCCCCGACGTGCCCAGTGATGTCCAGGGTAGCAGATGCCAGTGGAGGGTCCTGGGAGAGGTGAGTGGGGAGGCAAGGGGAGGCAGCTCTGTCCAGTCAGACACTTCTGATGACGCTCTTTTAAAAAGGAATTAATTCATTTAGATAGCTACAAGGCAGTGTTTCTTTTTTTCCTTTAATATCTTTAGCTGGCAATCTTGGTGAGTTCACATTTTAGGAAATTGGGTCATTGTCCTTGCAGTCACCGGTAATTGGTGGCATAGTCCTACTTCCCTGAGGCCTTCTGGGAGTCCCCCACATCTTCCTGGGACACCCCCCCCATGCAGGGCACCTTCTGGAAAGGCCTGGTGCACCTGGGGTCTTGTGTGTGCCTGGGAGGTGCCCTTGTCTGGGTCCGTGTGCCTCTCTCTGCCTCAGTGGACAGTGGTGCTCATCACGCTGCCCTCAGGTCAGGGTAGCTTTGATGTGAGTAAGTGCTTGGGCAAGTCTTTGTGTTTTCTCACCCCTTTAACTCTGTGTTAAAGAGAATTGAAGAGCTGTGTGATTTTACAAACTTTGCTTCTCATGCTGTGACTTGTCTTGTGTCACTTCCATGGATTGAAGAAAGCTCAGACATCCCCCTGCTCCCCTGCCTCCCCTGAGCTGCTCAGAGCACTGGCTTCACGACGGTCCCCAGACATGGGTGCTGCCATCTCCTTGCACAGGTGGTTGTGACCTGCTGCCCAGGCCGACCCACAAGCCTGAAGGAGGGGCTGGACCCCATCCAGAAGCATCTTCAGGGAGACTCAGATAGGGAGGGGAGTCATTGGATGGGGCTGGTGACTGACACTCACTGCTTTGCCGGCCAGGGTGGACACCAGCACCCCGAGACATCAGGAGAAATTCCAGGTGAGTAGTAGGTTAGGACACCTTGGTCTCTGTTCATCCACTGAGGACCCTGTATGTGCTTTTAATCTGAAGCATTTTGCAAAATTCTTTCCTGGCAGCAGGGATGGCAGGAAGCTCTCTCTCCTGCTCTCAGTGAGTTTGGACAGAACGAGTGTGAGCTTGGGGGAGGTGAAAGAGCCAGGGGCAGGGGCTGGTATGCTGCAGTGTGGTTCCTCCAGCTCTGTGGATCCCTGGCCTCTATGAGGGTTGCTTTGAGTATCCCATGAGCTCTTCGGAAAAGTGCAGTGTTCTCAGAGATTTCTAGAAGCTCAGGGTCTTCTTCTAAGATCCTGGGCTAAGAATCTACTGTGGGGGTTTATGAAAGCTGCAGGCCTGGGGCCAAGGTTGGAGGCTGGAGAGGGTGGGGCCATCCTGGCCTGTCCCAGGGCTCAGGTGCTACAGGAGACCTGCCCCATCCAGAGAGAAAAGTGCTATGTAGATCCATGTCACTGGGATGGAAGAAAGGGGATGGGGCCTTTCGGGGCTGCTCAGAGAAAAGGTGTTGGTGCAGGCCCAGCCAGGAGGGTTCTAGGCTGGTTTCAAGGCCTACAGAAGCTCCCTGAGCAAAGACTCCCTCCCACTCTCCCTGGCTGGCCCTGTGGGTGAGGCTGGAGAAGGGACACCAGGGCCACTTGCTGTGATAGGAATGGCATGTGGTGAAAGCACCTCTCTCCTTTAGCTGGGGAATGACAAACCTGCCCTTCTCCTGTGAACTACCATGTCTTCTTGCAGCAGGGGGCCATGCCAGCTCAGTAATGGCAGGGTTTGTTTTAGAAACCTGTAATTGCAGTCACCTGAAGTTCCTTGTCCCTGAGTTGTCTCTGCCTGGCTCCCAGGTCATTGGGCCAGGGAGCAGAGGCAGCAAAGCTTTACCTGCAGGTCAGTTAGGCTAACCTGCCTCTCTCCTCCTCTCCTTTACCCTTCCCCAGCTCCCTTACTCCCTTTCCTTGTTTTCTGCCTTCTCTCTCTCTTCCTCCTTTTTGCTCTTCCTTCTCTCTCTTTATTGTCCATTTTCCATCCCAAAGAAAACACTGTGCAAAGTGTTAAGAAGGGACCCTCTCCCCCACCGACTTTCCAACTGGGGCCTTATAAATTACACTCACAAAAGACCAACTAACAAGAGAAAAACATTTTACCTGACATGGGAGACTTCATAAGAAAATGAAAGCCCAAAGAAATAGGTGGGCTTGACTATTACTATATAGCTTGATGGCACCTTGTGGAAAATGTCATAGGCCCAAAGGCTGTGAGCTGAGGGCAGTGAGTGGGATGTTGCTGGGCTGAGTGTTTGGGTCCCTCCCTGCTTCTCTGCACCTGCAGAGATAATAGCACATCTTTCCTTGGGGCAGAGGGGCACCTCCCCCATGAGGGTCTTGTGCCTGGCTTTGAGTGAGTCAGGTCTTGAAGGATGGCTTGGCCTGGGGTAATGAATGGGAAAGATAGGAAGACCCTGGATGATGCAGCCAGAGAAAGGAGGGACATCTCTGCTCCATACCTCTGTCAATCTAGTCTATGCTTGGAGGGCTGCAAGATGGTGCTAGAACAAATATCTAGTAGTGGAACCCATATTTAGTAGGGGCATCTAACTTGGGGAGAGCAACACTAGACTCCAGAGAAGTAGAAAAATGACTTAAGACCTGGCTCCTTCCCTGTAGGAGCTGGACCAGATGGGGGAAAATCTAAGGTAAACTTTCTCCAAGAGGTACCAATGACCTTTAGTGGCAGAGTCCACACAGTCCACGGCAGAATGCGTGGGGGTCAGGTGGAATGGGGACAGTTGCAGAGTGCAAGGACAGGCCTGCAGAGCAGGTGCTGGTGAGATCTCAGAGAGCCACACCCGGGCTTTTCTGCTGTGGGGTGGGCAGGGAAGTGTGGCCTGGAGCACAGCTAGCATGGGGTGGGCGTGTCCTGAGGCTCCTGTTGACTGAAGTCTGGAGGTCACTGCTGACTCCAGAACATCAGGGTGGGCTTGGAACCCTAAGTATGTGGTGGACAACTGGAAGAATGAATGAAAGGTGGATGGCAGTGTGTATGGCCCTGGGTCCCTTGGGTTTGTGGTGTACTCTGTTTGGATAGCTGACCATAGAGTGTTCTGTTACCTAGTGACCTCCCTCTAGGGTGTGAGACTAGGACATGGGGACAAGAGCCCTTGGTCTGTGACAGGGGCTCCACCAACTCAGCTAATTCTGGGGGAGAATCCTGCTGCCCTTCTGATGCGTGGCTCGGGATGGTGCTGCCTGCCCTGGTGTGTGCAACTCTGTGCTGAAATATTTCTCTCCACCCTGTGTTACCTGAGTCTGTCCTGGGGAGAGACCAGCAGTGGAATCGGTTCAGGTGAGGCAGCAGCAGCAGTGTCTCCTCAGGCCTTTTCTCAGTGTGATCTGCCTCATGTGTCCTGTCAAGACCTGAGCAGCAGCACTGGTGTGTGGAGGTGGGGTCCAGCTCTGTGCCAGGGGCTGCCCACGCTGGTCTGTCTGGGAGACAGGTGTTGATTAAACACTGTCTTCAGCGCAACATTGTGTACTTTTTAATCTTTTATTCACCAGTCCATTTTGCCAGAAGAAAAAAAGAAACAGTGAAAATGAAGTGACCATCCATTAACACTCCTTGGGACTTGGGCAAATTCTACGGATACTCTGGCAACTGTGAGTTCTGCCCCCCACTAGGTCTGCTCCATGAGCCACCTGCTGCTTCTAGGGGTTTAAGGAAGAAGAAAGGAATTGGTTACAGAATAACCCAAAAACCAGTGGCTACCGCTAAAAGACTTTTGAGACCTGGTATCAAGGATCTCACCATTGTGAAATTGACTATTCCACCTTCAACCATTTTCTCTTCAGGATAAAAATGACTGGGCCAGCTGCTGTGTAGATCCACATCACTGTAGACAGCAGTGGTACGTAGGGTCTCGCAGGCACATTGGAAGGTGGCCCAGAGCAGAGCAGGGTAAGTCAGAAGCCCACACAGATGGGATGTAAGAACAGAGAGGAATGGCTGCCAGGGGCTCAGTACTGTGAGGGTGTGGTGGCACTCTGAGATGGGAGGAGCCACTCTAAGGTGGGAGGAACCTCTCTGAGGATGGGGTGGCACTCTGAGGTGGGAGGAGCCACTCTAAGGTGGGAGGAACCTCTCTGAGGATGGGGTGGCACTCTGAGGTGGGAGGAGCCTGAGGTGCTGACAGCTCTTCCCTGATTAAGAACCCTTTAATATGCTCTGTTGGAGTTTCTGTTCTCTGACTGAAGTGGATGGTACCGATTTAGCTAACTTCAAATTTTTGTTGTTTTTTCTTTTATAAGACAGAATCTCTTGCTTTGTTGCCCCAAGCTGCAGTGCCATGACATCACAGCTCATAGCAACCTCAAACTCTTGGGCTCAAGCGATCTCCTGCCTCAGCCTCCCAAGTAGCTGGAACTACAGGCACCTGCCACAATGCCCAGCTATGTTTTCTCTATTTTAGTAGAGAGGGGGTCTCGCTCTTTCTCAGGGTGGCCTCGAACTCCTGAGCTCAAGTGATCTCCCTGCTTTGGCCTTCTGGAACGCTAGGATCATAGATGTTCAGAATAATTATTGCCAATTCTTTCCCTGATTTCTTACTTTACAAGCAGGCACCTGGTATCTTAGGTTTGTTCCTGTAGGTTTCCTGCCTGCTGCTCACTGTGGGCTCAGGAACTTGGAAAGGAGTTTTATGAGGGCTGTAAAAAGTACAAGTAGAGATGGTAATTAGTAGGACTGGGAGATGCCACTTAGGTCCTAAACCAGAGGGTGCCAAACACAATTAAACAATGCAAAACCAACTGAGTGCATGCTGGGCTAGGGGATAAAGCTATAAGAATGGCCAAGGGTATTGGGCAGTTGGTGGAAATGCTCAGATGTGCATTTCGTAGTGCACTGAGGAGGGAGTGCATCCTGCAGACTGCTGGGACATCGGGTACCTCCTTGCCTGGGGTTCACCTTGACATATCCCCAGCTGTGAACCTCAGCAGCCACGCAGACTCCACACGGCTGCAGGTGGACCTGGCGGGTGCGCTGCTGGCCAGCAGGCCGAGTCGTCCTGGGAGAGAAGAGCACATTGTGGTGGAGGTGACCCAGGCAGATGCTCCAGGCTCCAGGCGTCGGAGGCCACAGCAGGTTACACTTATAATTTATTTGAAGGGAATTGTGAAATCTCACTTCATTTTGTTGTAAATTAAGTTTACTCTTGAATAGGTTTGATGGCAGCCGTAGGTGAGGGCACCAGTATTAGTCCAGTCATTAGCTCCTATCTCTAGCTTTGTCTTTGAAACATTCTTTTCTCCTTTTCTCTAAATCAGTTGTAAGACTCTTGCCATTTCAGTAAAATCATGCTTGCGAGTTCTTTATTCAGAACTATTTTACAGGGCCGCTCAAGGAGAGATCATATTTTTGAGAGCAAGTTTTTCTTTCTATTGTTAACATGTAATTAACTCCAGGCGTCACCTCATGGTGTGGAAGGTGTTCCCACACCACCTTGTTTTGGTGGTCGCTTGCTGAGACTGTGCCTGGATTCTCCCAGATTCTGCATTTAGGCCCACAGGCCCCTGTGCTCAGCCTCGTCTCAGAACCGAAGCCTCTAGGTCACATCCTGCAAAGGCAACCCACAGGTGGCTGCTTGAAGCCATGTCCCTCGTTCATGGACTTCCCTGCTGCAGCCGGGACAAGAAAACCCTGCTTATGTGCAAGGCTCTGTCCTCCACAGTGAGAATTCTATGGATCAATGCACCACTCACATTTTCCTCCCTTACAGAGCATGGCCCACGCAGCCAGGGTCTTATCATGAATGAGGATGCAGCATCCTGGGCAGAGCCGATGCAACACCAGTGTTCTAAGCTGGTTGCCTTGGCTCTGGTCTCAGGGTGCAAGCTCATTGCTCTGTGAAGTGCACAGCAAGGGGCTCCTTGGTGATGAGCAAGGAGAGGGCACCGCACTCTGCCCAGTGTCCTGGGACCGCTGTCCGGAATGTGCATATTTACAGCCCAGATTAAATGGGCTACACTGAGCTTCCCTGCTTTCCAGGGAAGGCCCTTTGTGATAGGCTGGCACACCCGAGCTGCCTGCATGGAGGTCCAGCTTTAGAAAGGAAAGAACATGCGAGATCTTTATTAGAGGGCTTTCTCAGACTTGTCCTTTCCAGACAGCAAAGTGTTTTATGGGAACTGCTCTTCTTTCCTTACTGCGTCTCTCTGCTTTGGCCAGTTTCAGAGTCCCTGTTTGGAGTGTCTTTTGCGATTGATTTGTGAGTGAGCCTGGTGCCTTCCCACTAAAAGTCCCCTCTCAGGCTGCCAGCAGCTCCATCAGTGCCTCTCAGCTGCCACTCTTCACTTGGCTCAGGCAAGGACAAAGGCAGGTTTGCCTGGAATAAGTGGAGCTTTGTTTGGGGGCCTTCCTTGGCAGGGGCTCCTGGGAGTCTGGGTGTAATGAGTTTTCTGGGGGAGGGTCTGTTGCTGCAGCCTTGCAAGCAGGAAGCAGTTCTCAGGGCTCAGGGCACAGAGGACTCTCCCAGTCTCCAGTGACCTGTAGCAAATCATTATTTACTTCTGTATTTTTCATAACTTTTATACTCTTAATTCTGCATTTTTTTTTGAATTTTTCTTCTCAGTTTCTCCCCAAATTGTGCAAATTTTTGGCACCAGACAACCTGGACTAGCCCTTGATGCCAGGAATGTGGGACCCCAAATCAAACACACTGCTGCTCCCACCTTTGTCCCTCTCCCATTTCAAACCAGGAATGTGGGACCCCAAATCAAAGACACTGCTGCTCCCACCTTTGTCCCTCTCCCATTCCAAACCAGGAATGTGGGACCCCAAATCAAAGATACTGCTGCTCCCACCTTTGTCCCTCTCCCATTCCAAACCAGGAATGTGGGACCCCAAATCAAA